TATATATATATATATATATATATATATATATATATATATATATATATATATATATATATATATATAGTGATATAGGTATATATTTCTATACATATATAGAGAGTGCATAGAGGTTTATTATAATATGATATTTTATTTTATTTTTTCAGGTTTTACTACTGGCTGCATACAAACCCTAAGCCCATAAAACATATATATACAGATTCATATATATATATATATATATATATATATATATATATATATATATTTTTTTTTTNTATATATATATATATATATATATATATGTATATAATTATTAGTTTTTTTTATTATGTTTGGTTTTTCTTTATACAAAAATTTATATCTATGAATTAGTTGATTTCGCTTTTGTATTATAATAAATATTGCTGTGTATACTATTTGTTTTTTTTGTGTTTGTTTTGTTTTCTGTTTTTTATTTTTTTATTGTGGTTTTATTTAATTTAAATAAAATAATTTTAATTTATTTAAGTAAAACAAACAAAAGAAAGAAAAAAAAACAGCAGCTGAGGTGTAGACAGACGCAGGCATCTCGTGCACACAGGCTGATGGGGTGGCTTTGTGCTGCATTTTGTTTATAAAAGGTTAAAAAAGAAGAATTTTAATTTAATTTATAAATAAAAAATAATTTATTAATTTATTTTTTTATTTATTTCTTTTTTTACTGAAAATTTGCATACAAAAGTGACGATACGCTCACCGCAGCTGTCGCTGCTGCTGTGCACGGGAGCGTTGCGGCTGTGCTGCTGCATATTTTCATTGAAATATTTGTGAAATAATAAATAAAAAAACAAAATTTTATTTAAATTTTGTTTTTTATTTATTTATTTTATTTTTTCTCTGCTTTTTCTGCGTTTTCTGAGCCGATGATCGCTGTATTACTATGCTGTTGTTTATAAGAAACCTGAATACAAACGGAAACACAACAGAAACACGCAGCAGCATGATGCTGCAAATAACTAAATTTATTTTAATTTTATTTTATTTTATTTTATTTTATTTATTTTAATTTAATTTAATTTAATTATACAAGTTTTTTTCTGCGGGGGAGAAAAGAAAAAAGAAAAAACTAAGAAAACACGAAACCTGAATACAACAGATGATGATACACCCGAGCAGTAAGGAAAATAAAAATCAAAAGAAAACAGAAATAAATAAATAAATAAATAAATAAAATAAAATATATAAATAAAACAAAACAAAAATATAAATAAAACAAATAAAAATATTTATAAATATAATACATCAAGCGAAACACACAACACTAAAAGAACAGAAAACCAAAGTAAAAAAAAATAAACAAACTAAACAAAAAAATAAAAAAATAAAAAAAAAGAAAATAAAATAAACAAAACAAACAAAACAACGACAAGCACACAAAAAAGTAAATAAATAAACAAATAAACAAATGAAAAATAATACAACCAAAAAAAAAACAAATAAAAAATAAATACAAACAGGCAGAGGTATGGAGACAGACAAATAAATAAATAAATAAATAAATAAACAAACAAATAAATAAATAAATAAATAAATAAATAAATGAATAAATAAATAAAAAAGTAAACAGATACAGGGAGAGAAAGTGACAAACAAACAAAAAGATAAACACAGGAGACAGACAGAGACAGATGAAACAAAGAAACAAAAAAATAAATAAAAATAATTAAAAACAAAAAAAAACAAATAAAGAAATAAATATAATAAAAAACAAAAAAACAAAAAACAAACAAATAAATAAATATAATAAAAAACAAACAAACAAAGAAACAAAGAAACAAACAAATATAATAGATACAACATAAATATGTACATACACACAC